AAACTGTGTTACTTTACATAGCTGTCAAACTACTTTGATAGATTGCCGTAGGAAGTTTAATAGTATCTTAATAATTGGATACTTGCCTTAATCAAAAATAAATTATTCCGACTGATCAATAGGTACAATAAATGAAGTCGGTTAAATATTCAAAAAATAATCAAACTTTCATTAATTAATTTTATAACCAACTTAATTTTAGTATTTCTCCAGCATTTTTTTAAGAAATAAGTATGCGGTTTGAAGCTAAAAAAACGTGACGTCACAATACACCATCTCGTACAAAGTTCAGACAACGGTCGTCATAGACAAGTTACGTTCTTAATTCAAATTTATCTGGTAGATAACGGCTATCCAGATATTGTGAAACAGGCCCTTAGTCTATTTTCTTATTATTTGGTTCACCTCCTATTACATGAGACTAATAACATACCATTAACTAGGCTTATAATATCTAATTATAAGTTTGAAATCACACACCCGTACTGAGCATGCGTGTTGATTAATGCTCAAACGTACTCTGTGTGACTTCATCTCGCACGGCTTCTTCGGCAGTCGCTCTCTTTTGGTCAGCAGTGGCCACTTATAGGCTGTTGATGTGATTGGCAATGTGTATAACATATATACCTATGGTGAAAAATGAGTATTACATTGTAGAGGTATGTATGCACATATGTGGTTCACCTGTGACCACCCCTTCCTATTTAATAAGGACGTTAGGATAACACAATTTCCTTCCTTTAATCGTGGGCATTATTACCTTCCTGTCTATTCCTGAATCGGGAAAATTAAATGGATTTGTTTACCATTTTCCTTGAAGTAGTATGCAACATTATTTTTGGTTGTGTTTATGTAAATAGAGGTCAAAGGTATGTCTTTTAATAGAATGGTGTTAAGTTATTTGTTAAGTTATTTAATTCGCCTCATTGGCTGAGTAGTCACAAGTGCGACTGCCGGGCAAGGGGTCTCGGGTTCGACTCCCGGGTCGGGCAAAGTGGGTTTTATAAAAAAACTCAATAATAGCACGGAGTCTTGAATTGTGCCCGGTATATGGCAATAGGCTCACCCCCTATTACATGGGACTCATAACATAATTAATTAGTGAAAAGTGGATGTTACCTCTGTGTGCACCCCTGCCTACCCCTTCGGGGATAAAAGGCGTGATGTTATGTTGTGTGTTAATACTATATATATATATGTACTTACTTAATAGTATATATATATATATATATCTTATCTCGTACCTAAAATATTATGGTAGTTAGGTAGGTACTTCCCCGAACAACCAGGCGTTTTCTGGTCCACCTTTAATGTAGGTATGCCATTGATATTAGAGTAGGTATAGATGCATTGTTTGTCTTCAACGTTATCCTATTGACCAGTGAATTGCAAAATCGAAATACCCAATAATAATCTAACACCATTTTAGTGCTAATATTACCTGCCTACCTGACAACATACATTTATCCTGCACTTTTGGGGAAAACAGACTGCCTCGTTGGCCGAGTGGTCGCAAGTGCGACTGCCGGGCAAGGGGTCTCGGGTTCGATTCCCGGGTCGGGCAAATTCTCAGAAGTAGCACGGAGTCTGGAATTGTGCCCGGTGTATGGCAATAGGCTCACCCCCTATTACATGGGACTCATAACATAAATACTGAAAAGTGGGTGTTACATTGTACAGTGGCATCACCTCTGCCTACCCCTTCGGGGATAAAAGGCGTGATGTTATGTTATGTTTTGGGGAAAACTATGTAAGTACTTAATCATGTTGTTTTTGTTTTCTTATGCATCTATACTGTATGTGTGTATGTATGTGTGGACGTTCACCATAAACTGCTCAACCATTATGGGTGATTTTCCACTTTCATGATCTCCGAAACATGCGCGCGCATTTTTGTGTACACGTCTACGAAAATGTGGTTGTAGATAGCATCCCTTGGAAAATAATAGCTTTCTATTTAGTTTTTTTACAGTAAATTTTCTTTAAGTTTCCATAAAAAAAAAGTAGGCGGCTAGTTTCGTTTAGATATTATTGTAGGAACTTTCATACACTTTTCTAAAAATTTGTTTCCCCATATGCTCTCTGTTGAGGTTAATTCGTGAAATGGTTTCTTTTCTGATTTCAAAATTCAAATTAAAACGGTACGAACACGTTCTTCTCGTTATTCAGTAGCTTTTTTTTTTTTTTTTTTTTTTAAGGGGGGAAAATCATCGAATGACTGCCCCCGCCTGGGTGAGGCGGGAGGGAGTGTCAGACTCTTACTGACTAAAAACCACCCCGTTCCTTCTCCTGCACGTCGAGCCGGAGCCCCGGTTACCCGTTAGGTTCTCCGCGACATTCAGTAGCTTTAACGTTTTGTGCACGACTCGTGGCAGCACCTATGTCTGCAGATGCTGATCTATTTAGAGGGCCCAGTATGGGGCCTTCATATATCTGTCACGAAATATAGATTTTATGTCTAAAGTTTAGTTTATAAGAAAAAATAGGTACTTCGTATATCTAACAATTTTTGCTTTCATAAACCACAAACTATAATGACAAGTATGCCATCCACCTGTACCGAACGAGGCAGTTGACATAATCAAGATGTTATCTGGGGCGTACACCTCAAGTCGACAGGTTTCACACTCGTCGCCACTCGCATGCTGACTATCTGGCATTACGCTATCTACGTCATCGTAACAATAAACTAACTTTGTAGGAAATGCTTTCGTACACAGATATACACAGATAGAAGAATGCCTGAATGGGATTAAAGCCAATTTGAGCCACCCTTTATATTTTTATTTCTCTGACCCCAAGGTGGGAAACTTCCCGTTAGCTCATCACCGATTCCCGGGTCGGGCAAAGTATTACTGGGTTTTTAAAAAAAATCTCAGTCGTAGCACGGAGTCTCGAATTGTGCCCGGTATATGGCAATAGGCTCATCCCCTATTACATGGGACTCATAACATAATTAATTAGTGAAAAGTGGATGTTACCTCTGTGTGCACCCCTGCCTACTCCTTCGGGGATAAAAGGCGTGATGGTCTATATTTTTTGTTTGTATGTTTGTTTGAACGCACCATTCTGAGAAACTACCAACCAATAATTCTGTTTGTGATGGATAGTCCATTTCTCGAGGAAGATTGCCATAGTCTCAACCTGGTGGAGATCGAAGGTTCAGTTTTATTAGAGGATGGCTCATATGGCGCCTTAAAGAAGTGGTGGTGATGGTGATAGATGCTGTATTCTACTTCTAGAGACCCTTATTTTTCCACATCCTTGTTATAGGCATTAAATGTAACAAGCCAACAACCATGGTCCATGGTGAAGTTCTTTGTTGTCTGGGTATTGAGAAGTTTTAGTGGACGTAATAGGTATTTCTTTTTTTTCTTTAAGCTCTGTAATGTTTTACCAAATAATACTAGACAGAAAAGGACAGTGCATAATTATGTAGATAGTAAGATCATACTTAGATCATTACAGAGTATCTAAAATATACAAAACGTATGTGAATAAATTGTAAGTTAATTATAATGAAACCAGAACCATCAAGCTACTTGTATATACATAACAGTAAAATATTTAACATACAAGACAAAAAAAAAGAAACAACAAACAATAAAAAAAACATTAAACAAATTAAAATGGCGGCAGAAATGCAGTCGGCAACAAAAATCAACTACAAAACACGTAACAAAAAAGACAAATAAATAAAGAATATGAATTATAATATTCCACATGTAACATGATGACTATTAAAATGCACTCGTCTTTAGCGCTTAATAAATAACATAAAAAACTGGCTGCTATGTAAAACTGTCCGTAACTGACAATTTCCTCCTACCTACTAAAATTAACCGATCACTAACATCTGGGAAGATCCTATTAAAGCCCCGTCTCTTCGGTCCATAAAGATGTAAACATCACGTTGTCCCCCTCTAACATATTCGACTACTCACCGAGCGAAAGAGACATCACGAAAAGATGTATTCTCGCAACTAATCAAACGTGTCCACTGTCCAGCGGCGCGTACGCATCCCACGCCGAAATTATCATTTAAACTTCAATTTCGCACTTCTATAATTTTTTAACTGGTTTAATTATTTTAAATGTTTTCCCAGCTTTAATATGAACCGTTAAATGCATTAACTTGCTGAAATTAACATATTTTAAGCTCGTTGTTTTCCAAAATTGTGAAATCCGAGATAAATGCTTTTGAAAACGTATCTTATTTTTATGAGCACAAAGCTCGAACTTAAATGATTTGTTGCAAGTTTACTTACAACTTATTGAAGCGATAACAATTAAGCTAGGTCTATGCCAGATTACGTAGTGCTATAGCGATGTCCCTTTCCAATGTAAGCGAGTATGTTCTGTGAGTAAAAGAGACGAATGTACTTCTCATTGACGTCTAAAGGCTATTTGCGTTCTCAATCGCTAACTTAACAGGTTTTTAAGGAGTTGGCAACATTTTGTTGACTCTTGAAATTGTGTTTAATTGAATTTCCGTAATATTACAGGCCATTTAGGTTAGAAAAAGAAGTTAAAACATTGTTAAACTTTCTTTTAAAAATAGTTTGATAGCTTTATTAAGGTTTGATACCTCGTCATAGGGTCTTAAATATGTTTCTAACAAATCTTGACTTAACATTATTTCATCCAAGATTTGATAAAATGATACCTATTAGAAAACATTATAGGTAATCAAATTAAATAGAAAATTATATATTTTCATCGTTTTAAATTTCCAGTACCTGAACATACGTACTATTGAATGAAGTAGTAAATAGTAATAAGAAATTGTAGGCAAAATTATAGAAAATTGTATATTTTAAACCTTTTTACATGTTTAGGATAAAATTATAATCACCCAAGAAATTACACATTTTTAAAACTCTTGATTCTAAAACAGATTACCACGCTCAAGTTTCCTAGTATCTAACAAAATGTTGGTTACCCCTGTATTCAGCGGCGGCCCGTGTAGAGGTGCGCCTGCGCCACCAGTCGACCGAGCACAGCCGTCAGCGCAGTGCCTCGCCGCGTCAACTAACAACTACTACGAACTTTTTACACACCGCTCTCCCGACCACCTTTGCAGACAATCAAATTAAAAAAAAAATACCGTGAAAGTGTCAAAGTGCATAGTTTTTTTTGTTAATTTTTTTATGCAATGTGTCTATCTATAGTGCCAAGTTCGAACCTTTGGATGTACTGAATTTTCAAGATTCAAATAGTGCTTTTTTGAAATTTGTTTTTTTAGTGATGTATGTACATTAAAAACTTAATATATTGACGTTATTTAATAAACGTTTGCTGAATGAGATTGCTAACGGTGCGTATTTATTACTATTTACTGAAGTCTAGATAAATATTTGATGGAAGTACCGGAGTCAGTTATCTAGGTTTACTGTGTGTTATGTTTTCTTTGATATGACATATTGCAAAATGCATATATATATAATATATGTATATCAATTATATTGCAATATTTTTCATTAGAATTGCGGAAAACACGCATTCAAATTTGATTCTCTGACTCCATAATTTCTCATACCTACATTTTCTATATATTATGTATATATTATGATTCTAAACCAATATCGTATATTAAAGTATAATGAAATCATGACAAGGTTATTTTTGATTTAAAATTATCATAATAGATAGGTAAGGATAAGGGATTTTAATATATACGACCCGTTCTTACTTCATTTGAATATGTATATAAAAGATATTTGTTTAAATGTTTGTTGAAATGACTTCGTGGAACATAAGTCTAGATATATATAGCTTATTATTATTAAGAAAGGACTTTTAAATATATAATAAGAGATAAAGAAGATAGCAAAAGTTTTAATGCTAGTTAAACATATTTTTCGTATATAGGTGTATATAGGTGTACTATATTTATTAATAAAAGTATAACAAAAAGGTTTCATCTTACTCTAGTTATTCTTATTTAAAATTTTATTAGTAAATTTATTAATATAATTTTATTATCATTTGTGGAATTTTTTTTCACCGGCCAGGGAGCTATTCCAATAATTTAATATTAGATCTGTATATTTTTCTTATAAACGAAATTTATTTTAAGAAAAACACTAATTTCTGAATAAAAGATCTCCTGACGCGTTTACTTCTGTCGTTCTAAATAAAAAAAATATATAAGATGAATGAACTTTAGTAAAATGTATTCGAATACACTTTCAACCTCAGTTAAAGTCGCAATTTAATAATTTTCAACCTAGGATTATTAATAGTCATACAAAATCATTTGGCGTGAACTCTTATTATTGGAAATATTTATTATAAATAACATTAATATAGACACGTAATATTTCGTACCTAATCTATTAGAATTAATAATTATGTTTTAAAGTTAATTACTTATATACGTACGTTTAAAATTAATTCAAAACGAATGTAACTATTACAAATAGACGATTAACTAAATACCTAAACTACAGAGGTCATCTAAAAAAAAAAAATTCTTAAAAACAATATTAGAAAGAGACAAAATCGGCAAACTCAAAATTAAAATCTTACGGACATAACGTACCGTCTGCAATAGAAGCTAACAAATGTCAAAAAATTAAATAATAATTCATAAAGAAAAAAACAATTGTGCGATCATTGACCCTGACTAGTTATTGAAACTGGCATGCAGTCATGCAGTCTTTGACAATAGTACTGGCCAATCATAGAGGTTTCTTACTTTAAAAAGACACTATTTCAGTTATTACACTTTGTTGAGGCGTAAACAAATTGTTTCAATTGTCGAATACTATAAAATTAATAAAAAACATAATTACATTTTCATTCATTGATGTGATGATATCCAATGATGGAAAATGCTCAATTAGTATTTTGTCAAAAATTCATGTTATCGAAATAGTTTTTAATCTTTGTTCCCGATTCTAATTTGCAACTTAATTACTTAAACATTCAGCTAGAAGAGTTGTTTTTTCAAAAAATTGTTAACAAGTTGATGGATGCAGTAATTTCATAAAAAGGGGGTATCGGTGAAAAACACAATCCTAGTTTTATAATAAGTAGTATTTTGTAGATAATATTTTTTCTGTTAATTTCTTTGTGAAGACCGCATCGCATCACTCTATTAAAAACTTTTGAGTTCTCGACGTGGTCTCCAAAAGACAAAGCCCCTTATTAAAATATAATAATTGCACTAAAAATATACGAAATACTATCAGTCTGTACAACAAAGAACATATAATGAACAACGACTTTTCTTAAAAAAATCTTGAATTCTAAATTTTGACACTAATAACTGCAAATATTACATATTAATTCACATCTGTAGCTCAACAGGATCTGTTTTAAATAATAAAGTTAGCCGACATCGATACTTGTGTACAACAATAATAGTGATTTATGTTGACGCGTAGGTACTATCGGTTCAATTAGCAGGCTTCTAATATTCTAATGTAAAGATATATTGATATTAAAGGCACGGTAGGAGGTTGCAGCAACGATAATTTGATATTAAGTCGTATTGTGTGCAATAAATGGGGTTATTTTAAATGTATATTAAAGTCGAGTAAAATATACATGATTTATTTGGACCGTTGAAACCTATAGTAAAATATGAGAATGATTACTGCCTCGTTGGCTGAGTGGTCGCAAGTGCAAGTCTCTGGTTCGATTCCCGAGTCGGACAAAGTATTACTGGCTTTTTCTAAGTAGTAGCACTAAGTCTGGAAATGTATCAATAGGCTCACCCTCTATTTACATGGGACTCATAACACAAATAGTGGGTTTACATTGTACAGGGGCATTAAGTGTCGTAATGTGCACCTCTGCCGTCCCTTCGGGTATAAAAGGCGTGATGTTATGAGAATTATCAAGACGGTTAATTCGGATCGGAGTATTTCTATGACCTGTCTGCGACAGCCATATAAAATTCTAAGGCAGTTTAGATTTCAGACAATAATAAGTATAATAAGGACGTATTTTTGTGGAGCCTATTTTTGTTTAATCTTTCATGGACACGATATAATAAAATAGTGATACATAAGCCAATATGACATTCCTATGTATGTCTAAATTCTATTTCTACTGATTCAGTTGCATGACAGTTTTTGGCTGTAGTTTTTGTTATAGTTTTAGTTAGTATCTATGTTAGCTTAGTAACAACTATTTGTTGATCTTGAATTTAGTACGTAAATGTGTTTGAAATTGTTCTTAAACTGTCAAACACCAAGCGGTCACCGGTGACCGCAACCTATTGTTCTATAATTGTGTCTATAATGACGGTACTCGACGAGTTAATCATGCGTTAAAACTTGTTGAAATTAGTTTTCGTGAAAGTCTACTTGGCAATCATTAAATAAATTCACCTTTTCTTTGTACTATTTGGAATAAGAACTTATTCTATCTTTGTAATAAAGTATCTGACTGGTTGCTGTTTCAAGTATAACAGTTTCCAGTAACTTACAACGTCCATCAATTAAATGGCTCCATTTTTCTTACTTCCCATTAATTTTTCGCGGGACTCTAAATTACTTTTTGCTCGATATTTTTTTTTCTTTTGATTGAATGAGTTGTCAACGGTAACTGACCATTCAGCCTTATGGAATGTCTATAAAAATATCTTGCTCTATTATCTGTGGCCAAGTATTTCTTTAATAATTTTCTACACACCTTACTTAGCACTACATTGGTGACATTTTAAGTTCGTAATTAAAAGTCTGACTTTTGTCTTGGGACATTTTTAAAGTAAAAAAGTTAGTTTTCTTCATTAAAATTATGGGTCATTGACAAAAATACTCATTTGGTTGCTAATATAATAAAGATAATTTTTTGAATATTAATAATAGAATAATAATATAAGTATCAGTCGTCAAAGTTTATATGCAAAATGTAAAATCATCACATCTAATCGCTTTGTAAATCTAAAACTTTTATTTAATTTAACTCGTCGAGTACCGGTTTTGTAGACACAATTATAGAACAATAGGTTGCGGTCACCGGTGACCGCTTGGTGTTTGACAGTTTAAATTCCCGTTAACTTACTAAAAAATAAGGTCGAAAAAATACTTGATATAAAATGTTAAAAAGAAAAAAACAAATAGCAATTTTTTCAACACCAACTTGTTTATTCTTCAGCAGATTAACACTCGCTACCATTGTTCTTGTTAGAAATGGACGCAAAAAACATTTTTTAACTGTCATGGCTTATTTAATTTGGTACTTCATATTTTTAGAATAGACATATTTCTGAACTATATTGTCCAATAATTGCGGAGTTACACCTACAACTTTAGAAACTAACTACCGCACTCAGAGACTACATAAACAATCCCTTAGCAACAATTGTGTATCGAAAACAATTGTTATGGACTGGGATAAGTAACTCTAAATGAATCTGAATATGGCGGTAACTTAAAACCTTTAATTACAATTACATTAGGAACCAATTTTGAGATTCAAAATACAACAGGTAAAAGCTTCTTATAATATTTTGAGTAATAAACGATTGTGATTAACTAAAAACACTCGTGAACATACTGAGGAAAGCTCTACTAGTTTCGAGTCCCAGTGGGGCTCTTCCTCATAAGCAGCGTGCGCGGTCGCGGTGATGTCTTATATATTCAGTTTCTCAGTATATTCGTGAGTAACCCGCGACTTTCAGTTAATTTAGTATATCTCACGATAGTTATTATAAAAACAAAACGATTGAGACTCTGTACTTTCAACCTGCACCTCTTTCTACCGTTCCAAGGAATAAAAGTGGTAAAAGCAGCTAATTACATTTATTTGAAATGTTCAGTTATGAAGAACAGACCAGATACGTTCACACATATCCGCATAACGACCTATAGTCTACAGTACAATCGCTTCACGTATTGGTATCTCACTCGCCGGATGTTATTTTTTATGCGGACTGTACTTAACCAAAACATGTCCATGTTTTACTTGTCAACTGCTTTGCTACCACTACCATTCTAGACTTATGTCATGTACGCGTTTACACATCGATGGTAGAATTCAGTTAGAATGTTAAATAAATATTTGTGGAAAATGTCTATGGTTGCTTAGGTGTTAACTCGATGAAAATTTCACTGTCGAAAATCGATAAGACTTGGTTGTTTTATAAAGTTTCACACTTTTTTTATGGCAGAAGGCGGTAAACGAGCACACGGATCACCTGATGGTAAGCAATCGGCGTCGCCCAAGGACACCTGGAACACCAGAGGCGTTACCAGTGCGTTACCGGTCTTTTGGGGATTAGGAGTTTGAGGATCGTTGGGGATTCAGGAATTGGGGACATTGGGGAAGGGGAGGGTAATTGGGCCTCCGGTAACCTCACTCACATGACGAAACACAACGCAAGCGTTGCTTCACGTCGATTTTCTGCGAGCCTATGATATCACTCCGGTCGAGCCGGCCCATTCGTGCCGAAGCGTGGCTCTCCCACACTATTATAATTGTACTCCTATCAATAATCATTATAGGTACCTTAACAACACATTGTGTTCTAGCAGTTCCCAACATGAATTTAAGTTTATCAAGTACACAATATAAATTCTCGTTGACCGGAGTGGTCGCAAGTGCGACTTGGCCAAGTGATCTTCGATTCCCGGGTCGGGCAAAGTAATAATGGGTCTCTTAAAAAAAATCTCTGTAGTAGCACTGAGCGTAGAATTGTGGCTGGTGTATGGCAATAGGCTCACTCCCTATAACATAGGACTAATAAAATAAATAGTGGAAAGTGGGTGTTACATGATTCAGTGGCATTAAGTACCGTAATGTGCACCTCTACCTACCCCTTCAGGGATAAAAAGACGTGATATTGTGTTACAGTATAAATTAAACGCATGTAATTTTCTTCCTAATCCAACTAGAAAATATCTCTATCGTCAGTGAAATTAAACAAAAATAATTCCACTACCATGTAGGCTGCAATAGAACTTAATAGTTGTAAATATAAACTATCGACACATGACTAGGTGGTAGGACATCCCTAACCGCTTCTAAGTGTCATGTCACCTCTAGTTGCACTAATGATTTATATCATACTCGATCTAAACTCCTGTCTGACTAAAATATACACTTTTAATGACCATTTTATAATAATAAACTTGCTATCCTAACATCTGCTGAACAAAATAAAAACTAATTATTCAACAGTCTTCCATTTTTTTTTCACTAGACACAAAACCTTTTTTGTGGGAAGGTATCAAGGAGGCCGGGTACTTTTTTAACCTTTTTCTAGCTATTATTTTCAACGTGTAGTTCGCTATTTTTTTTTCGTGTTACACACTGTTGTGTCAAGCCGTCCACTTAGATTACCATCTACGTCTAGAGCGGTGACACTCGGTGATTATCGATAAGTTCGGTAGCGAGATTTTTATCGATACATTGATCGAAAGTGGAGCGACACTGTCTTGGTAAATGTCAAAACAATTTTTTCGGGTTTTGGCGCGCAGATTTGAAATTAGAAAGTGTTGATGCGTGATTAGTTTTTTTTTCTACGGTTATAAAGCTTCGTTGTTGCTGGGATGTTTCACAATTTATGTCAGTCGTTGCCTTTATTTTGAAATTTAGAAATGAAGCAAGAATTGAACTTTTATTTCACTCTAGAGAACATTATTACTCAATTATAAATCCTTTGTTAGACTAGTTACTAAACCACATTATCATAAGAATAAATTACTAAAAGTACCTAAATAGACAAATACGTACATGCAATAACAAAACTTCGTATATTTTCACTATTACTACAATTGTCGCTATTTCAACAACAAATCTAAAAAGGTATCATAAATAAAACATAATTTGGAAATATCAGTTTTCATTTAGTTGGCTGTGCACGTTTTTAATAGGATCCGCTTTCCGACTGAGCCAGACAGCATTCCTGTATCTTTTCCGCTACGTCATGGACAACAGCGGCGGAAATAAATCGATGGTCCCTATAAATATAAGAACTGTCTTTGTTCTGGCAACACTACGTTTTTTTCTTTACGTTTCGAAAACAGAACTGTTGAAGTTGATAAACAGCAATGACAACAGAAGAAAAATAACGTTTTAATTTGATAATCGAATAGTTGTAACAGTTTGAAGTTAGAACGTAAATAAATTGAAGGAGGTTAGATAAAATCAGTTTTTTTGTTTAGTTCTATTTTAAGAAAAAAAGTAATGAATGGGTTTTATTTTAATTAACTACAAACGAATAGTTACTTACTTTATAATTTAATCAAAGGTCTGATTGGAAATATTTTATTTAACTGATTTTATTACAATAACGAAAATGTAAATGTAATATAACATTAGGTATTTTTAAATTTACTATTTATAATATCACAAAAATACTGACCTTAAAGTATATATTAAGCAGTTAATCCTTTAAATTGCACGTATAATTAAGTAAATAAATTATTTTATTGTAGTTATTTGTAACTCGAAATGCTTTAAACTATTGCATATTTTTTATTTCTAATGGAAAATATAGTTAGATTAAGAAAAAGTATATTACTTAAAACAATTAGGTACAGTCTATTTTGTTGGACCATATCATCAAGAAGATAAATAAACGTAATCTGGCATTATGAACTAGACCCTAAAACTATAAAGGATTAAATTTTATTTCCTTCGCAAAATTGCCACATTTCAGCGCCCTCTAGTCATAATGTCAAATGTTTATGACAAGTGATGTCACAGTACTATAAAGCAAGATTTATTGAACGATGCAATGTTAATGATTTATCTCGCGGTTATCCTCGCGTCTGTATGAATATTAGTTTGTTAAATTTATCAGGGTGTAAAGTTATTCTAATTCCGACAATGATATTTTCATTATGGGACTTATTTCGTTTAAAAAATGGTTATTGGTCTATACATATCGAATGTTTTATTATGATAAAAATGTACATTCAATTTTCATTGCTGCCTTTCATTTTAATTTATTGTTGATACTTTTGAATAAAAAGTATTTATTTATTTATTTATTGCTGCCTGGTCGAATAATCACAATGGTGTGTGCCGAGTAAGTGTACCTATCGATTTCTGAATGGAGCAAAATGCGACTATTAATATATGTGGTAAAAAATATTGTGTGCTCCTGGTTAGATAGTCTTCGAGGAATAGGAAGCGTGATTTTTTTTTTACCTAGATATATACTTTATGAACTTGGAACTTTGTATTTTGAAACTAATCTACTACGTCATCCAAGCATGGTATAATTAATATTTGTTGATACTTGAAAACAAATGTTATGTTGACCACTGTATGGCGTACTTATAACCGTCATTGGGGGAACCACCTATTACTGTTTCAATAACTAAGGAGTGAAGCACTATCGTAACTAAACAGTGTATTTAATAGATTCCAAATAAATCAATTGTATTTTATTGACATGTAAGTGGTAATTCATTCAAAAGAAATCTAAACTCTCATTTAAATTGATAGATTCAAAATAATTTTGTTTGACAAATTAATATTTTAAGAATGAGCCACAAAATGATTCTAGCAACAACCTAACAAGAGAAATTGTCCAAATAAATAAGACAAATAAAATATGAAAAAAAAACGAATATTATTTTCAAAACGAATTAGTGACGCGCGGTGATACCGTAGTGCGCAGGCGCGGCGACGCGTCGCAGTGCCGCCAACATTGACAGCTGTCAATCAGGGCCAAGATGGCGGCGGGCCGGTTCCGTCGGTACAACCACGAGTCGCTATCTCCGTCAAATCTGACGCAGGGCTCTCATGAGATTAGAAAATGTTTTTATACAACAAACTATTGGATGACCTCCTTAATCAGATCAGTTGCGCAGTTGAAATGTCACGGAATGGTAATTGTTTTTCATTAACACAAGTTTCTACACTTTCTGCTGGAATACTCGCCGATATTGATGATAAATCTAACGAAGTCCATTAAACTATCACGACAAACCTAAACCTATTGCAAACTGTTTATGTGTAATTTACGAACGGCAACACACTAATTAGGTAAGCTATGTTAAGTACTTGGGAAATAGCCGCAAACTTAAAATTTTATAGGTGAGGTAGCCCACTAATGTAAAACTCATACTTAGACACAAATTAATATCTACTTACTAAACCTATTTTATTACATGTAGCTAGGTTATATTCATGGCTATTACATTTAGTTTTGTTAACAATAAAACTTGTTTACGACAGTTGTAACCTCTTTTGAGTTAACAAATCTATTCTTTATTTCCAGATATGCCACAAACACTAGCGTGATGACGTAGGTACATAATGTGCGAGCGCGTCACAGTGACGCATGCGCGGACTTTGAAGAACCAATAGTGAAGTGCGTGTACCGATAGATTTCAATCGATACTGTGATCGATTGCGTTGTGAGAATCAATCCCGAATGAACACCCTGATGCTCACAACCGGCGGCGCGGTGGACGAACAACCCTGTGTAGACAACAATATGGCGTTTTCTTCTTACAAGTGAGTACAAAATGTATTCTAGTCTAAGTGGTCTCGTTTATTGGGCCATGTTGGTTCACATTGTAGTAGATAGCTTGCCACTGAGAAACTTAATGTCATTACGAATCTCACTCCAAGGCCAGTAACCAATAACTTTTAATAACTAACATCACGAACCAAACAATACTGACAACAGAAGTCACTGTCAAGTCACCGCAAACGATTCGCTAAAGAAACTAAAATTACTGATTGACTCTTGACACACGATCTCTATCGAACAAAACGTTCTAACTGACACTGGATTTTATTTTTTAAATAAAATAGTAGATGTTTAAATGCGTATCTGTCGACCGTTACACGGCTAAGTATTTCGCACAAAAACATGTAGTAACAGAGTTCTCTCCCACAGTGCACAATGACATCGATCCAGCTTAACAAATAGCGTTAGCTACGTACATTCAAGACAGGCAAATTACCGCATAGGTACTTTTTGTAACGACATAATGAAATTATCTTCATGAAACACGTAAAAAGCCGTCATAACCATAACATGAAGGAGTCTTGACAGCATCCCGTGGTGCAAGATGAAGCCATTTATCCAAAAACTGCACCGGGGATCTCTCGACCAATCGCAGCCAGAATTCAGATGACAAGATTACTTATACTTGGAAATCGACACAAGTTTTCGATGCATCATTAACAGCATTACTCGAATTAATTATACATTTTTTGCCTGAATGACAACCAATTTCTAGATATACGAACAGACAGACGCGTAAACATTTTAAATTCCTTCTTCTCCGGTTGTGTAACACTTTATGAGTACCTACTCTATGACATTTCAGTTTTTACAAACGCCCAGGCGAAGGTTTATTTGCGGTTTAGCTATAAATTCATATTTATTGTCAGTTGTATAAACTGTTGCCGTCCACAAAATGGATTCATAATCTAAGTATAATAAAAAGAGCATCATTAGCATTAGGACAACGGAACGAGATCATTCACGTGCATTAATTTCATTTCATAACCTATAAAGTAAATACAGCAATTACCGAACGCAAAAAGCCGTTGACCAATGAATTCGTCAGGCGGTTACAGTCCTCAATCGGGCACCTTTCATTTAAAAAAAGAACCATACGCCATTTCATGTCAATTTTTGAATTATTCATCGTGCGAATGCGCGAGCGCATCGATTGATGCAAACAAAAAGCGCGCGCTCGCTAATCTTCGCCCTTTTTCGCCGAGCTTCGGGCTTCCTCGGGCCCAGTGTTGCCAACCAACGCATTTATTATTCAACTAGTTTTTACAGTCACGCTGCGCAAAGACATAACAGAGAATGCATTTATTTGATAAATGATATTTTTTTCCTAAAACCCTAAACTGGAGATTTTTTAAACTAATTTTTCGGTGTCAATATTGGAGGACATGTTCTTTTGTTAATAATGTGCGCTCCATTCATGTCCATTCAATCAAAAGAGAAAACATAATGCTGTGTCATATAATCCGATACGTTCTCATAACAATGTTCTGAGAATCCGATCAGAAGTTTTAATTTTATACTTCTCATATTGATTTGACAAGATTAACTGAGCCAGAGTTTTTTGTATCGTCACATTCTGACTAGTGGTAAATACTTTGCTCAGATAGCATCTGGCGCTCGCAAATATTTCTTAATGATTATTATTATTATCTAGTTTTACGTGTTTCAGATAAAGTACTAATATCTTGTTAGCCAAAGTAATAACTCATAAATAATTAATTGCATTCTAAATTCGTTATCATTGGCCGTCAAGCCAATTACAAGTAACATTGCGATGCTTTGAGTGCAGAAAAAATATAGTATTCGAATTTCCGAGCGTTCATCCCCCGCGCCCGCACGTCCGCCGCGCCTCGACGCCGCGTCTCGACTGTACGTGATTGGTTTATTAATTAGGCGAATCATCGTCGGGTTCCATTTTTAAAAATAGGCGGGATTCTTGCTGTGCGACTTTTCTTTTTAATTTTGGCCGGCGTTGAACGCAATTAGAGCTGGCAATACAGCTTTTTGTCGTAATCACCGCGCGACGATAATGTTAGTTTTAAATACTACTTAACGTAATTAATAAGACAATCAGCTATCTTAATTCTATGATTCTAATTAAAATTTTATCGACGTCTTTGGCCGGTATCACTGCTATGATTTATTACCATTCCTCTGAAGCGTATGACGGTTTTGATTCAAGTAACTATAAGGAAGTGACTTCACTGAATTCGCAATTTAAATTGCAGCAACGTTCAAATTCTGATCGGAATTTTAGTCATATGAAGTTGAGTTGGAGATAAAAAAGAAATGGAACTTTCATATTTATTTTTACAGAGGACCGATTAAAAAGATACGAAATCGATCGCAAACGACTAAGGTCAGTAGAAAAATAACATAAAAAGCGTTGTCGCGTCCGTCCCAATGCTATGTCTCCCGAATACCGTTAGGATGCCATCGAAACTTAAAATGGAGAGAAAAAAACTGAAAACTATTCCAATTGCCAGTATTTGGCAATTGGAATAGTTCCATTTTGTCTGCTATCGCGTTTTAAGGTTATTTCGGTTAGGGGATATTTGTAATATTTGCTTTTTGCGCGTCATAATGTCCCTTTTCACTTCTTACGCATGTGATCTGGATTTTTGACATCGATCCGAGTTTCTTTTGATAATCCAAGACTCAAACGACTCCAGATTTAAAGGAATTATCTGTATGTTTTTAATATATTTCTCATTAACTTTAAATGTATTATTGTTTGCTATTATATCTTGTAAAGTTTTAGGTTCCCTGTTGCCCTTTGTCTGCATGACCTTTATAGCATTTGCATCTTACAAAGTTTCATTAGTGACTTCCTCAGTCCCGTGTCTTGATTTTAATGTATTCACATTATCTTCTTGAGGACAAATCAAAACGACTATTGCGTTGCATAGGAGATGTGCAATTATGAAGATATATTAAGAGGCAAATGGTTCGTCTAATAAAAATTAGGACTGTTTGATTTGGAAAATTTTCAAGTTCAACGTTTATATGTAAGTTTTCTCCATGTTTGTCTTACTTTACATGACAAAACTAAGTTAATACAGCGTAGTTATCACAGCGATTTCCCCTAACTTTTTCCCAATTATCCAAAATCATATATCACAAACAAATTTGCACCTTACCAACTCAAGGACATAAAGTTGAAAGTTAATAAACAATGTCTATAGCTCACAATCTAAGCAACATGAGAGCTTTAACAATTGCAAGTGATCTCCCTGGTCTGTCACGACTTGGAGACACGTGCTTGCTTCCGATGGCCATTGTTCAATCTACGTCATCACACCTTACGTAACTCTATGCGTTGGAGCACTTTGATCTGCTTGATAGACGCATACGCAGTTAAGGGTGTGTGTCATAGGAAATGAAACCTTAATAACTTTGTTAATTTTTATTGGATTTTGAAAATGGGTTGTGCATGCATTAAGGTTTACAATTGGATGTCCGAATTTTCTTTGATGAAGTGTTGGACTGTTTCTGTCTCGTTTAATTCGTTCGTAGTTAATTGATAAGCCGGTACAAGTCCCTATTTCAAAGAACCGTCAGTTGAGGTAAAAGAAAATAATCCAAAAGTCGTATCACAAGTTCACAAACAAAACTGCAAGTACAAAATACTTATGGCGTCGCGTATCGAAAGGCCCAAACATTTCTCGGAGCCGGACAAGTCGGCAACTTGGCTGACCGCCGCTACTAAGTAAGACGGGGACATAAATTCTTCAAAGGGCTAAACAAAAATAAAAAAATACTCAAAAACCCCTTTAACAGAGCTACCGAACTATAATTTATGGGAGTTGGCCCGCGACTGCCATCGTATGAAAAAAGTAAAAAAAAGAACCAAACGACCAGAGAGGCAAAACGGTGAAATTTGGAATAATTTCGCGATAGCATCGCGCACGCCGGTACCTTTCAATTTCTTTATACGTTTGCAAATTTGTGTTTTTGTTTTGTCGCAATATCGAGTTATGGTCGAGGCGGAGTCGCGGTACATTAGTTGAGTTTATTTTGTGCTAGCCTTGTAGGCCACCTGCCACTGAGGTACTGAATTGTTCATCACTTTTTCCTTTTATTAATTGAATTGGAGGGAATATGGTCCTTTCATAATTTGCGGTTCAATCAAGGTCCAAGGTCCTTCATGTGCATACCTTTAGAGATAAACCAGTAAACAATGTTACATAGATGTATGACGTACATATAATTAATAAGGTACATATGTTATTACATAACACGTGTTATTGTCACCCTTATGTTAATAGTACTCACTTCAAAGTTGTTAAGAAAAGGTGAGTACACTTAATGAACGCTATTACAACGTGTAATAGTAAATAGTATTTACAAATTCTACTGAATGTGATAATACTATGATCATGTCGTAACAGCATTTTGTCTAAAATTATCTCTATATATTTATGTTAAAGCAATATTTTCGTAAGAAAGGTTCTATGTTTCTGAGTCCACTAAATTAGTTCGTCGACGTCACATTGGTATTGTTGGTATTTTATATCACCATATGGACTGCCTCGTTGGCCGAGTGGTTACAAGTGCGACTGCCCGGCAAAGGGTCTCGGGTTCGATTCCCGGGTCGGGCAAAGTATTACTGGGTTTTAAAAAAAATCTCGGATTTTGGAAACGTGCTCGGTATATGGCAATAGGCTCACCCCTATTACATGGCACTTATAACATAAATAGTGAAAAGTGGGTGTTACTTCTTTGTACATCTCTGCCTACCCCTTCAGGGATAAAAGGCGTGATGTTATGTTATGATATCACCACATTAGAATAAAGAAAATCTGGACGACCAAGTATGCTATGCTAATCGCTGCAGAAAGATTTCAATGCTATATTAATGACATGGTTCATCTCACAATATTTCGAAAGGTAATTCATCTATATCTCTATTTAGATAAACAATACATTACGGACACGAATATGGAAAGCCATTTATATAAATAGCACACATACTCATTTA